GAATGCAGGGTCGGATATGTGTGCCTAATGTAGATGGGCTTCGAGAGCTGATTCTTGAAGAGGCCCACAGCACGCGGTATTCCATCCATCCGGGTGCCGCGAAGATGTACCAGGATTTGAGGCAGCACTATTGGTGGAGGCAGATGAAGAAGGATATAGTTGGGTTTGTCGCTCAGTGTCTANNGGCTGACCAAGTCCGCGCACTTCATTCCAATTGGTACTACTTACTCTTCAGAGCGGTTGGCTGAAATTTACATCCAAGAGATCGTTCGCCTGCATGGTGTCCCAGTTTCCATCATTTCAGATAGGGGTATTCAGTTCACATCGCAGTTTTGGAGGGCCGTGCAACGAGAGTTAGGTACTCAGGTTGAGTTAAGCACAGCTTTTCACCCTCAGACGGACGAGCAGTCCGAGCGCACTATTCAGATATTGGAGGATATGTTGCTTGCTTGTGTCGTTGATTTTGGGGGTTCATGAGACCAGTTTCTGCCACTCACGGAGTTTGCATATAACAACAGTTATCAGTCGAGTATTCAGATGGCTCCATACGAGGCTTTGTATGGGAGGAGGTGTAGATCTCCGGTTGGATAGTTTGAGCTGGGTGAGGCTAGGCTCTTAGGTACAGACTTGGTCCAGGATGCATTAGATAAGGTTAAATTGATTCAGGAGCGGCTTCGCACGACACAGTCTAGGCAGAAGAGCTACGCGGATAGGAAGGTCCGTGATGTGTCTTTTATGGTTGGGGAGAAGGTTTTGCTGAAGGTATCACCCATGAAGGGTGTTATGAGGTTTGGGAAGAGGGGCAAGTTGAGCCCCCGGTTCATTGGGCCTTTTGAGGTGCTTCAGAGGATAGGAGAGGTGGCTTATAAGCTTGCCTTGCCACCCAGCTTGTCGAGTGTGCATCCAGTGTTTCATGTTTCCATGCTCCGGAAGTATATTGGAGATCCGTCCCATATTTTGGATTTCAGCACGGTTCAGTTAGAGGGTGATATGACTTATGATGTGGATCCGGTGGCTATTTTGGATCGGCAGGTTCGAAGGTTGAGGTCAAAGGATATAGCTTCAGTGAAAGTTCAATGGAGAGGTCAGCCTGTGGAGGAGGCCACTTGGGAGACCGGGCGGGAGATGCAGAGCAGATATCCACGCCTATTCGAGACTCCAGGTATGTTTCTAGACCCGTTCGAGGACGAACGAATGTTTAAGAGGGGGAGGATTTAACGACCCGGCCGGTCGTTTTGAGAGTTGTAACCCTGTTTTCCCCATTCCTACTTCTTTTTGGGTTATTCAACTATATTATATTATATCGGGTTGGTTGGTTCGAGTCCGGAAGGAACTCGGAGTAAAATGAGACACTTAGTCTCATAATTGAAAATTTTAAGTTAGAAAAGTGGACCGGATATGGACCTATATGTAAACGACCTCGGATTTGAATTTTGATGATTCCAATAGCTCCGTATGGTGATTTTGGGCTTAGAAGCGTGTCCGGAATATTATTTGGGAGTCCGTAGAGGAATTAGGCTTGAAATGCCGAAAGTTTTATTTTTGAGAAGTTTGACCGGGGGGTTGACTTTGTGATATCGGGGTCAGAATCCGATTCTAAAAATTGGAATACCTCTGTTATATCATTTAGGACTTGTGTGCAAAATTTGAGGTCAATCGGACGTGATATGATAGGTTCCGGAGTTGTTTGTAGAAATTAGAAATTTCAAAGTTCATTAGGCTTGAATTGGGGTGTAATTCATGATTTTTAGCGTTATTTGAGGTGATTTGAGGATACGACTAAGTTCGTATGATATTTTAGGACTTGTTGGTATATTTGGTTGAGGTCCCGAGGGCCTCGGGTGAGTTTCGGATGGTTAACGGATCAAAAATTGAACTAGAACAGCTGCTGCAATTTCCTTCTGTTGGAAATTGCTTCTGCCCAGAAATCGAGCCCAAATGTAAGCCCAGATCGAGCCCAGGGTCGAGGGTCACAGTCGAAGGCATGATCGAGCCCAGGGTCGAGGGTCACGGTCGAAGGTATGATCGAGCCTAGGGTTGAGGGTCACGGTCGAAGGCATGATCGAGCCCAGGGTTGAGGGTCACGGTCGAAGGCATGATCGAGGGTCACGGTCGAAGGCATGATCCAGCCCAGGGTCGAGGGTCACGATCGAAGGCATGATCCAGCCCAGGGTCGAGAGTCACGGTTGAAGGCTGGGAAGAAGACATAATCGAGGGCCAGGACTGAGAACCAGGATCGAGGACCTCGATCGAAGGCCAAGATCGTGGCAGAACCGAGGATGTCTGGGCAGAATTATAAAAACTAGGGCTTCATCCCAATTGCCATTTTGACAGATTGGAGCTTGAGGAGAGGCGAAATTTGGATATATTTTCAAAGAAAACTTGAGGTAAGTCCCTTGTAATTATTTTTACTCCATAATATTGAATTATCCTCGAATAATCCGACTAGATTACATGATTTTGAGGTGTAAATCGGAGATTGGAACTTAGAAATTTGGAAATAAGATTTGTAGATTTGAGGGTCGAGTTGAGGTCGGATTTTGGTAAAATTTATATGAGTAGACTCGTGGTTGAATGAGCTTTCGGATTTTGTAACTTTTGTCGGGTTCCAAGACGTGGGCCCCACAGGCAATTTTTGAGCCAATCTCGGGTTTTGGTCTAATTTTGAAGCTTTTCTTGTGAAATTTATTCCATTGGCGTATATTGATGGTATTATACTGATTGTGAATAGATTTGGAGCATTTGGAGGCAGAGTCCAGAGGCAAGAGCATTGTGGGGTAGATATTTGACCGGTTTTAGGTAAGTAACAATTGTAAATCTAGTCCTGAGGGTATGAAACCCCGGATTTTGTATCATTCTACTATTTTTAGTGACGCACATGCTAGGTGACGGGCATGTGGGAGTGCATTGTTGGGGATTTGTGACTTGGTCCATCCCGTAGTAACTGTAAAGTTGCATACTTTGTTGAAACCATTGATACTTATATGATTTAGAAAGATTTTATGTAAATTGGGCTGAATGCCATGTTTGGGCCTTGTGCCAATGCTGTTTGGACCCTCAGGGGCTGTTTCGTATCATCCTCTTACTATTTTCGATTGAAAATCTATACTCAGTCATGTTTATATTTGTTTACCGCATAACTCAGTTTTATGACTCTATTTTGATGTATATAAATATTTTGGGCCGAANGTGCAGATTATAGCGCTTGGGCTGAAGGAGCCCCTCCGGAGTCTGTACATACCCCCAATGAGCGCAGGTACCTACTGAGTGCGAGTACCGAGTGCTAAGTGCTGAGTGACTGGGAGGCAAGAGTGATTGTGAGGTATGCCCGAGTGGCAAGAGTAATTGTGAGGTATGCCCGAGTGGCACGAGTGATTGTGAGGTTTGCCCGAGGGGCTGTTTATGATTTCATCATTTTGCTCACCTTTGCATTGAGCCTTTGTTTGAAAAACTGTTGGAAAAATGTCTTTAAATGATTTTTACTGGAATTGGGTTTAAACGAGATGTTTGATTCAAATCTTGATTTTTAAAAGCATGTGGTATTTTACTGAGATTTTCTGATATGAACGTTATATGCTTTACTTCTCGTCACTACTGCTTAGTCTTTGTTTATTGTTGTTACTTACTGAGTTGGCGTACTCACGTTACTCCCTGCACTTTGTGTGCAGATTCAGGTGTAGCTGGACACGATAGTGGTTATTGAGTGTTATGGTTGCAGATTTTCTTGGAGATAGTAAGGTAGCTGTTTGGCGATCGCAGCCCCTGCTCTTCTCCCTCTTATCTTTCTCTATTAGTATTTAGCTATTTTCCAGGCTGAGTTAGCCTTGATATTGTTAGACAGATTATAGTAAAAGCTCATAACTAGTGACACCCCGATGTCGGGCTTTTCTTTTCCGCACTTCTGTTTTTCTTTTGATTTGAACTCTTTAAATGGAGGTTTTTATCTTGAAATTATCTTTGAAATGAAAATATCGTTTTGTTTTGGAAATGAGTCGGCTTGCCTAGTTCCACGATAGGCGCCATCACGAAAGGGGGTTAGTTTTGGGTCGTGACAAAAACGTACAATGGAACATAAATATTTTTGACAAGTCTAACATGGTTACCTAGAAATTGAATAAATGGTGTACTTTATTAGTTAAACTATACTAATAGTGTAAAAGAATTATTATCAATGAATATAATTTAAATCTAAAATAATCTCTCACTTCTTCCAAATTTATATCACATTTTCCCATTTTGAGGCATCTCATATATTCAACATCCAGCAAGTTTATACATGATAGAATATAAGAATTAGGTGTAACGATAGAATATAAGAATTAGGTGTAACTGTCGAGGAGAAGATCTATATATCTCAACGTCATATCTTTTAGATATCGCCCATCTAAGGTATATTTCCCAACTTAGAAAGCTAAAAGTTGAGATTATTGGATTGTGTATCAACAATTAATTTATTTTTTTTCTCGTTCACTGCCACTAGCATGAAATATAAGTTAAATTAATATCTTTAGCAATATGTCCAGTCAAACTCTATCATAAAAAATGGTGAAATTTATATTTAAAAAAAATATATGTCTATAAGCATCCTCGTGACACTATCATTCGATAAAATGTTAGATTTTGTGATTGCTTATTTATTACGTACATAATTTATAAATGATAGGCAAGATTCAACTAGACAGTATAATTTGATCAATAAAATTTGTTCTCCCGATATTACCATTTGAATTGCATCTCGCCACTTAGTTTGTCCCTTTGGACATATTAGAGTTGCTAATTGAGGTAAAATGACCAAATATATGGTCCCTAGTTCACCAAACCAAAGGACCTATACAATAATTTATATTTTAGAGTACTCAAATATTAATTATACGATAAAAGAGTTGCAGTTCTAATTAATGAAAACTGCTTTAGTCGGCTAATTAATTTAAGCATTCCCCACGCAAAGTATTGTCCAAAACAGAAAATGAGAGACTTCCTACTGTAACAATACGAAGGAAAATTAAACCAACCTTTTATTTGATTATAGTAACAAATCACCATCACTATCACTAAATAAGGAAGTGAGTAATCCAGTTCATGGATTAACTTGAGAATTCCCTATAAATGCACTTTTTTCTTTTCCTAATATATGTGAAACTGATATTAAGAATTAGAAGATCTTCTCTATGCAGTGACCAATATTCTTGGGCAGATTAAAACAATTAGTTTTCGTTTTGCTTCTTTCTCAGAATTCAATTTCATCTTCAGTCTTCTTGTACATATATCTTCTCCGCCAACTCATGACTTTCTGTGTATGTATATGGCTGTTTGCAGGTTACGATCAGCTGTTGATTGAAAAAGGTACTTTACTTCATTAATCAAATGTCCATTTCCATAGTCTTAGTCTAAATAAATTATCTAAGTAGTAGTTGTTGTTTTGTTCCACACCCCCTTTTTATTTATCGTTGGATTAGTGGGACTTTTAGTTTTTGTATAGTTTTTGGCTACCTGAGTGATTTTGCCGTCGGGAAAAATTATGTATTTAGGAGATGTAGTTAGTCGCGAAAGCATAGAAGAATATAAAGAATTTGTTGAACTATCATTTTTAGAAATGGCACAATTATATATCCGTAACTATTGCCTTTGATCATATCGTGTGCTATTACTCAAATGGCACAAAATTAGGAACAGTTGAGACCTTGCAATCTGAGGTCATCTACTATCCCTCATTAGTTGGCTTTCCACTTTCACTGGTTTGGTTAGATGTTTTGGCTTGTTTATTGGTATCATATTTTTCTTCTCTTTGCAATTCAATACTTCTCCATGCTTTAATTTTTTGCAATCTTCAATCTTTATTACTTCCATTCTTGGCTTCTTGTTTATAGGAAGTGTTTACAAACAACAACAACCTACTAAAATACCATAAGTGAGACATGTGGTGGGTAATGTTTACGCAGACCTTATTCTTACCCGGAGGAGTAGAGAGGTTGTTTCCCATTCTTGGCTTCTTGTTTATAGGAAATGTTTGAATTTAGTAAATTCATATAAAAATAGTGCCACAGTGAAAATTGGTGAAGCTGTACTACTAGGATATTATTTCTTTCCATTGAGCAAGTATCCCTTGTTCACTTTCTCGTTATGCAGATATCACACAATTCCTCATAGCATGTTACATTGTTACCTATGATCTATGTATTAAAATAGATTTCGTTTGTGATTGAATGCTGAGAATATGAAATTTCCTTTATCCGCTGCAGAGAAAGATGCAATCTTCCTTAGCAGAAGGAAGAGAAAAGATTAGTAGAAAAATAGAGCATACGAAAGGGTACTGAATTTGTAAGATCTGAATTATATGGAGTGCAGATTACCCGAATCAGTCGTTTTTCTTCAAGACAGCAATCATAAAGATTTCAGGGACATCTGTATGGATGGGGAAGAATGTTCTATGGAAAATTGTGAGCTGAACCACGATAATATTTATTGCATGCTTAAGTATGAGCTGGATCATAATGCAGAATTAGAGAACAGAGTGTTGCATGTTTCTGAATCCAAGCCTGAATCGTACGAGGGAACTGTTAAGCACTTTGACGACTCTAAGAAGCTGTTGATGAAAGGTAAAGCTGATACTGGTGCTGAAGTTGAGATTGCTGGTGCCATTTCTATTAGCCATACTTTGCCAAAAGACCAGAGTTTGGATGGAGAGCTGTTTGATAATAAATATAATCAGGTATATTCTCTATACTTAGCAATTCTTGTCTTGTTCTGATTCAGTTTCTGTTTTACTTCTTTTTCTTTTTCTTTTTCTTTCTCTTATCGCGTAAATGTTATGTATTCTGTGTTCGAAACCAGAAAATCGGAGGAAAAAAAAACGTTAGTTCCGTAAAATAATTCCGAGCCCACAAGTGTCCTTAAGGAATTTAATCTCCTCACTGTTGCCCAAGGTTATGGATTACTTCCTCCCAGAATAGAACGGAAAAACTATTCTGTAATACTGGCAATCGAAATTACACAACTTCATCGAATTCAACAAACTGAGCAAATCACACTTGATACTTTATTTATTTGAAAAACAATGCAACAATGTAGAAAAGAGGGGAGAAGTTTTCAGAGATTTTCCATGGCTGAAAAATGAGGCCAAACCTCTAAATTTATAGACAATGAAAGGGTGAGATGAAGAGATGCAATTCATAAGGTGCCTCTTTCATTTCTCATTCAGGCTCATTCACGAAACCTAACAGTAAATTGTCAAGAAGATATGATGCAGCAGAAGTTTCTTATTATTGCTCAATTACTATTGACATGATCTTCTCACCTTTTAACTTCTTTTTTATAGGATCAAGAGATGAACAAGGAAGCATGTAGTGACAAAAGCAATATACCAGATTCAACTTTTAGAGAAGGATCAAAACCAAATTCAAAGGAGAAAAAAGGCTCCAGCATTGAAGATGGAACGCCAATGAGAAGTTTAGCGTCATTGTTTGCAAGTCAGAATACTGAAAAGCTTCCAGATTTTGAAGACTCGACTGTTTTAGTGGTCTCAGCATCGAAGCAATGCAATGATAACATCTCTGTTCGTTCGAGTAGCACCAACAGCACAAAATCTTTTGCATTTCCTGTGTAAGTTTCTGCAAAACTATTTCTCACGCGTGACCTCAATCGCAACTCTTTACTAAGGTAATTCTTTATCAAGCAGATTAACCTCAGAGTGGACCGGCAGCCCTGCAAAGATGGTGGAAGCAGGTAAAAGAGATTTTAAAAAGCGAAGCTGTTGCTGGAGAATGTGCTTTTGACTTCTGCAGATTTGATTTTTACTGAGTTATAGCTGCTTCTGCAACTTGTCTTCATATCACTCTTTCTGGTGTATCGACCATAGATAGACATTATTGAGCTCCTTTTTTGGCAATGAAAACTTTGCCCTTTTTAGTCAAATCATAGTTTTTACACATCGCACATAGCAAGCATAGATTAAGCAAATCTAATGTAGCAATAAATTGCACTTCGTCAATTAATTGAGGATTGGATTATTGCAAATTCTGGGGGTATCTTGGCAATTGAGCAAATGCATTTTGAATAATATTCAACAATTAATCGTCCTGATAAACCTGCTGGCCTCCATTAGTGAACGGTCTCCGATCTTTCTTTCGTCAAATTTGGCTGTAGCTTATAGTCCTTTTTTTTCTTTCATGTCTTACTTTTTAAAAAACTCAAAAATCAAAACACACATGCTCTATGTGCAGAAAAGATCTTTAAAATTCAAACTCACGGGTTTAGCCGTTTATTGCTTAATCACAGTGAATATGAAGGTTGACCTCCATGGTAGACAAATGACTTAACGTCAGTATTTTTACCTTATCAGGTCACCCTAAGGATTTCTATAGGTAAGCCTCCTTAAAATATGAGATTCGTAACCTTGAAAATACGCCAACAACACCAAATGTGACATGATTCAGTAAAAATTTAGATAGGAGATTTTAAGTTTCAACTCATGCGTCAATGTTGCAAAATGTACTGGTGGGAAACATTGTAGTGTTGCAGCTATGCAGATATCTACAGAAATAACTTGGATATCGTATTTGCATTCATCAAGTGCAAAATTCCAACCCTTTCAAGGAAACTACCCAACTCTTCATAAAATCCATCCAAAGGAACAAAACAGATGGACTGTACCAGATCTAACTTTCTTAGAAAAACAAAATAGGAAACCCACAGAGAGGAGAAAAAGAACTTGAAACTTCAAGATGATTCATCGCTCATCTCAATCGCCTCCATGCAGTAATAATTTCCTGTCACAAGCAGCAGATGATCAAAAAAGGGCAAAACAAACATGCAAAATAATCTAGCAGAAACAAAAATACAAACGGATAGAAACTAAGAGTCCAGCAAATGAAGTTCCCACAGTAAGCAACATACTGTAAAACCAAACAGTATAGGGAACCGGGTTCTCTATCTGTTCCCACAATAAATCGGCAGTAAATAAAGAACACGCGATATTTACGTGAAAAACTCCTTGCTCAAAGGATTAAAAATCACGACCTATCCTAGTAGGATTTCAACTCTACTAAACCGAGCAAACTTCAGTTTACAATCTATTGCAATCTAGGAATTAAACTCTCCCTCACCCCTTACAATAACTCTATTGCAAGCCCTTTGCAATAACTCTATCACAAAGTAACAAACTTGACTAACTCTAGTCAAGAAACTAAACCAAACAGTGGTTTAAATCTGTCCTACAAAGACACTTCTTGAAAGTAGTGTAGGATTACAAATGAAGAACAAAATAACAAAGACTCAACAAACCTAAGTACTTAAGATATCTTCAATCTTTGGATCTGGTCCTTGATGTTGCAACAACTTTGTTCTTGAGAGAGGTGTTGGCTAGCACTTGAGAGAATATTATCTCTTGATTTGCAAGTGTTAGGGCCATGGAATCCCTTGCCTCATGTTGATAATATGTGTGTGAGGTCATTGGGATGATGTTAGCAAATTTATGATACAAGGCATGCTCCATAAAGTGACTGATGCACTATTGCGTGTGCAGTGCAACGACTTTAACAGCGGTAAGGAGTTGACCTGTACTGTGACCGGAGGAACTGATCTCTATTTGTTTCCTCTGATGTTCCCTTATCTGATTTCATTGAGAATTGAACCAGATATCTGACTAGTTACTCTGAATGCAAGGGAACTAATTGTATTAAGTTCCTTATCTGGTTCTCTCATGAAGTTTGTCAAATCATCAAAATAAAAGATGCATAACTTATCAATTTCCCCCTTTTTGATGATGACAAACTTAGAATTGATATTCTCCCTGAGAACCAGATCTCCACATTGTTCCCCTTACAAATCAGCCATATTCCCCCCGAGAACCAGAACAAAGAAACTGATCACAACCGGTTCCTCGAGACTGTTTGGCAAATCATCAAAACACAAAATAGTATAACTTATTAATTTCCCCATTTTTGATGATGACAAACCCAAAATTGATGTTCCCCTTGAGAACCAGATTCCTCACATGTTCCCCTGCGGATCAGACCTATAATCAACATGTTATCAGCAACATTCCTCCTGCGAAGCAAAGCTATCTTTCATGCACAACACATTATATCAATTCAATTTTGTTTCTCCCCCTGTTGACATCTATGTAACTTCCCCTTTTGGCATCATTGAAAAGAATAACAGAAGAAGCACAACCAAAATGAAGTTCAACAACATTAACTCATGTCACTTGGGCAACACAACATAAATAATAACACGGACAACAAGTGAATGTCATTGCACAAAATAGAGTAATTGCCCATAGTAGAGTAATTATAACAAAAGCATAGTAGTTTCAATAATATATAATATGACAATTTAAACAACTAAAGTACCAATGTCATCAAAATAAGATACAGATTCGAGGGAATTTGGAAGGAGTGAAAGACATTGATCACTAGGCAGGAAGAAAAGTAAGGGGCTAAGGCCTTGATGAGCACGTCCATTCGTTTATTCACAATCCTTTGATCAATGATCATCTGCTCTCTCAGGTACTCCACCTGTTTCCTCAATCTTTCGTTCTCACCCTTCAACTTAGAATTCTATTCAGCGAAGGGTCCACGGGGACCTGGTTCTCTACCTATCTGAGCAGGCTGAACCATCAATCAGATCACCAAGAATCTCCCCAAACTTCTCCTCATCAAGAACAAACTCAGTCCCATGCACATATAACATCAGAGTATCACATACAACATAGAAGTTTTTACTTCTTCTTCATAAACGTTAGGACATGGAGGCACAAAAAGGTGATTCTATTTTTGGAACTCAACAATGTCAAGAAGCTCCTCCATTTTTCAACAATATCATAATCAACACTCTGCCTAACAACACTTTTTGAGACTTCAGACTCTTCTACCTCTCCAAACCCGATAACTCAATCTTTTGCTACTGTAAGGAACCAAGTTCCTCACTCACACTACCCTTTCTTTCCCTGAGCGGCCATGTCTCCCTATTCTTCTTCTTCTTCTTAATCTGTTCACCCTTATCATCTGTTGCATCTTTCTCAGCCAACTTTCTTTTCTCTATTTGTTTTTGGAATTCTTTCTCACAAGTAAAGATTTTTCCACTTCATTCTCTCTTCCACAATCACCACATCAGCCGGTCACACCACTTCATCATCAATCAACCTACTTTTCATCAATCCTTTTTACTGGATCGGAGGATCTTTTAAGCACAGAACTCAAGAGAAAAAGATCATCACCAGAATTAGTATCTTAAGAAGATTTAGGGACCAGGTCCCTCACTTAGTTCCCCCTTTTCCAGCACATTGACCAATTTCCCCATCCTTCAAGGCTTCTACAAACCCAACAACAATTTCAGCCTCACTCTCTAGAATATTAGATCTACCCCGTTCCTTTTAAGTTACAGTCGCATCAAAATCTACCAAAGACTTCTTGAGTTTCGATTAAGATGGAGTTAGGATTTTGGAAAGTGACAGAGTTGGGTTCACTTCTGGCATATTTGGAGAGAGGGATTCTTTTTGAGATAAGGTTGATTTGGTTTTGAAGAAAAGAATTGGTTTTGGTTGGGTGTGAGAGAAGGATTTTTTTTTGGGGCAACAGGTCAGTTCAGAAAGGTTTAACATTTTGGACTTCAAAAATTAAAAGGGAGGCGGGAATAAATTAATGACATGATACTTCAACAGTTTAAAAAGGCATATACGTATTGAAGAGACTACTAACATGAGTCACAAGAACCAGGTTCCTTGATGGTTTTTGAAAATTTGAGCAAAAACTCCTAGAATTGCAATGTCACTCATACTTGTTTTCTCCTAAAACTGCTATGTGTGTATACCCGTAACGGTATAGAATTGAGTTAGATGCCACCAGAAAAACACTTTTTGCATTGTACCTTTCCTTCTTTACATAGCCAATCATCGAGGAACCGGGTCCTTAGTTGAGCTTGATCAACCCTAACTCTAGACGACCTCTTTCAAAGTGTTCTCTGCTCAGTTCTTTGGTGAAGATATATGCTACCTGATCCTCTATCTTGCAGACCTTCATACAAATAAGCCCTTTTTCAACATTGTCCCTCAAAAAGTAATATCTCATATCAATATGCTTTGTTCCTTTGTGTTGTTCCGGGTTTTTTGCAATGTTTAGAGCACTTGTATTATCACACAACAATAGCATATAATATGTAAACACACCCAAATCTTCTAGTTGTTGCTTGATCTACATCAGTTGAGCACAACAAGAGGCAACATCCACATATTCAACTTCAATAGTAGAAAGAGCCACATGGTTTTGTTTCTTTGTACCCTTTGAGATCAAGCATGACCCCAGAAAATGTGCCATTCCAGATGTTCTCTTTTTGATCCACTAGATATCCAACATGATAAGCGATATTCGCTGGGCCAAGAGCACCCCCTCGAGTAAAAGCTTCCACGATCGATTGACCAAAATGATGATCCCAAATTACATGAGCAATAGGTCTTACATGTAAAGGGTCTTGTACCCACGACTCAAAATTTCCTTGCCAAGCTACATGAAACAGATTTCCGGAAGTCCACTGAAATATTATTGCTAGTTGACCGAAGTGAGAAGCAAAAATATTCTGATAAAGACGTTCCTCTTCCCCCTCATGTAGTCATCGGCCTTCCCCATCTCCCCCTCCCCCCTGTCGCTTCTGGAGAAGCTGCGAGTTCATGAGCAAGTGAATGAAGGAGCCATGTTCCTAAAAAAAAGACCCTCTTTGTTTTCTTTTCTTCCCCTATCCCCAGCATCAACATATCCAATCAAGTCAAAATTATCTCCTGAAGGATAGAAGAGGACCAGAACCTACGTTCTCAAAAAAATTTGGCAGCTTCAAGTGAGATTCTTTTGGGCTTAATTGGAACCCAGAACACAACCCAACACTAAAAACAATATCGGGTTTGCTAACAGTCAAGTGCAGAAGAGATCCAATGATACGCCTATACATAGTTTCATTGACAGGAGAACCAGGTTCGTCTATGTCTAAACGAGTAGTAGTGGCAATAGCTGTATCTATGGTCTTAGCATTCTCCATCTCAAATCTTTTCAACAGCTCCATGAAGTACTTAAACTTCTGAATTTGAAGCACCATGTTCCTCCATATTTGAAACATCATTGACATCAACAGAATTATGACTTCAACTTATTTGGTTTGCATCAATGGTACCTAATGCAACATCAGAAACACTATGTTCAGCTTCAGTCAAGGTGATAGATAGACCAGGTTTCTTTGTGCCTTTTGGAGATTCTGCTGCATCTTCTTCATCGCGCTGCTTGACTTGACACATCGAATCAGTTTTTCCATTTGCAATATCTATAGCTTCACCAGAAGCATTTGTAAATTCTCCATCTTCATCTTCTTTGTTATGTGACCCTTTGCCACCACTGTTGAGAACAAAATATTTTGCATCCAAATGCTCTTAGGTAAGTCAGCTTGGGTTTTCTCCCATTGAGCAGTTCACAGAGAGACTTCTCAAGAAGGGACCTGATCATGCACTTGTTAATCAAGTAGCATGCGGTGTTGACTGCTTCAGCCTACGAACCAGGTCCTCCATAACCAACTTGTTCAGCAAATAAAAACTCGCATGCCCCAGTCGTCTATGTAATAACTCAGCATCATCATCAATAACACTTAGGCATGTTAGATCACATGGGAGAGTTTTGCCAATTTTGCCAAAACAAAAAATATAGCCCTTCTTGTCGTTTCCAAAGGACACACTCCCACTTTGGAAAACCCAGAGTGAGAGGAAATCACTCATTCTTCCAGTCATGTGCTTAGAGCAGCCGTTGTCCATATACCCTTTTTTGACTGCTACCTCTCACTTCAGCCTGCACACGAAATCACTGATTAGACTTAGGAACCCAATCCAATTTGGGTCTCTTACAATGATAGAACAGGCGAATCAAACTTCTTTTGCCCATGCAGGCAACACATATTTTCTTTTCAGGGAACCAGGTTCCTCAACAGTATGTCTCTTTTCAACAAAAACTTTATTTTTCTGCAAAGACTGAATTTTAGTTTTACAAGAGTCCTTGTAATAACCCGTTTGACCACAGTGAGTGCACAACCAATTATCAGCCACAGTTACATACTTTCTATGGGGATTATAGGAGGTTTTAGCCTTTTGGAACTCGATTCCTTGCTTGTTTCCACCATTACTCTTGTACATAGACGCTATTACATCAGAGAACCAGGTACATTTAAGTGACTTATCAAGATCATTTTTAACCCTTTTCAAATCCTCCTGAAATTGTCTATTCTTTTCAAGCTGAGCAACAAGACTTGTTTTAACTTTCTTAAGCTCAAGTTGAGCCTCACTAGTCACTTCTTTACCCTTAGTGTTGTCCATCCATTTTTTCGTTTGTTTTTTCAACAAGTTATTTTCTCTAGTTACTTCTTCCACTTGTTCCTTCAAGTCTACAATGGAAACTACCATATCATCCCTCTCTTGTTTTGTGCCACCAATTTCTTCTATTAAAGCATTTTTATCATTAATGAGGCTATGATATGCATCAATCAACATATTTGCTAAGGACATCAAATTTTTCTTAGAGTAAGTTTTCAAATTTCTTTGAACATCAAGAAAACTTACCTCATCATCATCATATTTGGCCATGAGTGCAAAGATTGACTCATATTCTGAAGATCCATTGTCAGCAACCATCGTAGATGTATCTCTTTGGTCATCTTCACCTTCAGATTCACTGAAGGAATCTCCCCAGTCAGCCAAAGCTTGCTTCACCATGTTGTTAGTCGTATCTCTTCTTTTGAACTTCCTGTCAGGGACCTAGTTCCTCTTAGCCGCCTTATCAGTGTTGGTTTTGTAATGATCCTTCTTATGAAGAGGACAGTCTTTAATGAAGTGTCCAGATTTTCCACGCTTATGACAACAATCATTTCCTTTGAAATTCCTGCTGTAACTTCCTTTCTTTGGAATCCCACCATTTTTTCGAATCATCTTTTGGAATCTTCGAGTGAGATACTCCATGTCAGATTCATCACTACTTGAATCCTTGTTGGCAGCCTTGAGAACCTCTTCTTTCAAGATCCTTCTTTCTCTTCATCTCATAAGTTTTGAGATTTCCCATAAGCTCGTCAATATTCAGCTTCTGCAGGTCTTTGGCTTCAGTGATGACATTAACCTTGCTCTCCCAGGAACCTGGTAGAACACTGAGTATCTTTTGGACCAGCTTGTTGGTTGGAATGATTTCACCAAGTAAATGAAGCTCATTGATTATGGAGGTGAAACGGGTATGCATCTCTTGAATGGTCTTATCCTCTTTTATTTTAAAGAGTTCATACTCAGTTGTACGCATATCTATTTTGGGCTGCTTTATCTGAGTAGTCCCTTCGTGAGCAGTTTGAAGAGCTTCCCAGATTTCCTTGACAGATTCACATGCCGAGATACGATTATACTCGTCTGGTTCAATACCACACACAAGAATCTTCTTCGCCTTGAAGTTCTTCCCAACAACTTTTCGGTCAACACCATTGTATTCTTTTCTTGTCTTTGGAACAGTCTTTGTTCCCTCTTCAACAGCCTTCATAGGGACAAAGGGACCATCACAAATCATGTCCCAAAGCTCGGAGTCTTCAGCCATAATGAAGTCATGCATTCTTGTTTTCCACCAACCATAGTATTGGCCGTTGAATCTTGGGGGTCTATAAGTTGATTGTCCTTCCTCGAAGTTTGGTGGAGCATCCATGATGAGGATCCTTTTTAGGTGTTAACCTTTTATAAAGAACCTGCTCTAATACCAATTGATAGAAACTAAGAGTCCACCAAACTGTATAGAGAACCAGGTTCTCTATCAGTTCCCACAATAAGCAATAGATTGTAAAACCAAATAGTATAGGGAACCGGGTTCTCTATCTGTTCCCACAATTCGGCAATAAATAAATAACACGCGATATTTACATGGAAAACTCCTTGCTCAAGGGATTAAAAACCACGACCTACCCTAGTAGGATTTCAACTCCACTAAACCTAGCAAACTTCATATTACAACCTATTGTAATCTAGGAATTAAACTCTTAATCTCTCTCCCCTTACAATAACTCTATTATAAGCCATTTGCAATAATTCTATCACAAAGCAACAAACCTTAACTAACTCTAGTCAAGAAACTAAACCAAAAAATGGTTTAAATCTGTCATACAAAGACACTTCTTGAAAGTAGTGTAAGATTACAAATGAAGAACAAAATAGCAAAGACTCAACGAACCTAAGGACTTAAGATATCTTCAATCTTTGGATTTGTTCCTTGAGGTTGTAACAACTTTGTTCTTGAGAGAAGTGGTAGCTAGCACTTGAGAGAATATTTTCTTTTGATTTGCAAGTGTTAGGGACATGGAATCCCTTGCCCCATGTTGATAATGTGTGTTAGAGGTCATTAGGATGATGTAAACAAATATATGGTACAAGGGTGCAGTGCAGCGACTTTAACAAGATCATCGACAGATACCAAGTCATCCACAATGGTAAGCATGAATTGCAGCTTCTTTATACCATATGCAATGGGACAAGTTTTGCAGCAATAAAATGTCATAGTGGGTTAGGTGATTGTGCTACATAGTAAAATGCTTCAACAGTTTATAATGCAGTTCTTGAAATTCTGGCTAGACGAATGGTACTAAAAGATAGGATCCACATGCACTGGAGAGTGAAATGCTCAAAGATGCTGGAATTATGAAACACACACATGCCCCTCCCCTCCCCCAGTAAAAAAAAACTTTCTAGTGAGTAGTGAAACAGTAAAAGAAATACTCCTACAACATAACAATATGAATTAATATAAAACATACATGCTCCCCAAAACAATCCTTCCATCTGAACAGTTCTTCAAGCTTCTTCATATCAGTCTCATCATCCCATGGCTTTACATCCAAAAGAACTGAGGACTTGCCAGTTAAGTCAAACAAGTTTAAGAGAAAATGTCAGTTTTTACAAATTGGGTCGCTTCTTATATTATTTAAAACTCTGTTCTTACTGGCTTTAAAATCCTATTAAATCGTACCAGTGTGTTTCTTTAAACAAACACCAGAAACTCTTCATCCCTATCCAGTAAACAGGGCAGCCCAGTGCACTAAGCTCCCGCTATGCGAGGGGGTCCGGGGAAGGGCCCGGATCACAAGGGTGTATCGTACGCAGTGTTACCCTACATTTCTGCAAGAAGCTATTTTCACGGCTCGAACCCGTGACCTTCTGGTCACATGGCAGCAACTTTAACAGTTACGCCAAGGATCCCCTTCTCATCCCTATCCACTAGATGATACAAATACAAAAAGAAACTATTTGGATATACTGGTAATAACTTACATTCTTTATTCTTTCCAGAAGCCTTCAAAGCTGCAGCACGCTCTTCAGCAACTATTTTTTCCTCTTCAGTTTCCTCACTAAATAGGTCTACATCATCGTCATCCTCTACAACTGTGGCCTGGAATAACATTCACAATTACATCCAAACTAAAAAATAAGGAACCTTAGGTGGATCAAGTCAATCCAACATTTAACATGTTAGACCTTATTATACTAAAAAACAATTAAGAATATCTAAACCGATCACCAAAGAAAATAGAATAAACAAAGTTGTGGAACTTACGGGATTCTCAGAAGAGCATCGATGTGCGTATACCACCTAGATGCGTTTACGTATTCAGATGGTGGTGGTTTTGCTAGTGATGAATACTTGATATCATCCTTGGAAGCTTGGTACCTGAGCGTGGAACAAACAAAACAAATGCTTAAGGCATATAAAAAGACATAATCGATCATCAAACAGGATTTGGAGAACAATCACGCACCCAGTGATATAACTGCGGGTTAAGAGGTACTCATCAAGCTTCTTCAGACCAGAATCTGAGTTAAGATTGCAGAATGCAACAACCATTGCCGGACGATAATCTAAGTCTTTCTTCAATTATATAAGAAGATAACATTGCTACTTCATGACCGTCGAATGTAAAAATTCTTTCTTTACCCTAATTCTTATCTCTGCCTAAACTAACATTGCTTATTCGAAAATTGAGCTATGTTAACTCATCTATTTTCTTGAATATTTAATTATAGTAATTATTATGAAATGCAATTTATCATCCCAAATCATCCGTCTTATGAAACAGAGAAATAGAAATAATAACAATGTAAGATCTTTGAGAAAGAGATCGAGAGAACACTAACCACGATCCGACGATCAGGGGAGCTGCTATGCTATGGAGTCAAAGCTTAACCACCTAGGGATTCAGAATGTTTAGTGTGATAATGGGCTACAATTTTCATTGAACGATCTTGAGTTTTATGCTCAAATAGTCCCTTAAGTTTGAGAATATTTCTATTTGCGTTCCCATCCTATTATCATTAGTACATATGGTCCATTAACTTTGCAAAAATTCGTTCCTATATAATATTTGAAACTTATTTACCAAAATTATTTTAATTTTGTATATTACCCTCCCCAAATAAGGATTACTTACAAATTATATACATTCCACATTAAAAGGCTCTCAATCCATTATTAGTGCCTTCAATCAAGGGATTTAGTTACATCCTTTTCTTTTTTTCTCTCCTCTCTCCCCTCTTCTCTCCGGAACGAACTTATATTTAATTATGGAAACGGTCTAGTTGGATGAGAAGAGTCGTCATTTGGTCCCAGCTCCCAATGGTCCCCAGTTATTGCCATGAAAGTACTATCCATTAGGCAACAATTCAGTTAAAGTTGGAAGACAATATTTTTCGTACCAGCTGGTTAAGTTTTCATCCAAAATATTTAGCAATCAAATCCAATAGCAGCTTTCATCACAAAAATTCAAGGATTACAACACAACAACTGGGTTAGCAACAATTAACTTAAAAAAGATAGGAATTTTCAGCCCAAAAATTTTAAAGGGGAGAAATAATTCAATCATTAAAGTCGATTACTTCAATTGTCTCAGCATTTAAAGTCATTTTATTGGTGAAGTCGAGAAAGGAAACTAAAATTTGCAAAGTTTCAATTAAAAAATCTCAGAATATTCAACTTCAACTTTGAAATCTGCAATTTGTTAGTTGTTTTTGAGTGGGTGTAGTTGAAATTTATCGAAAATACTTGGACAAAGTCATATACAAAAGTTGAAAAAAAAATTGAAAGTGATTTGGATTGGTTTGAATCAAAATTCGTAACTGAAATTGGTTGAAAAATGTCTTTACGACACATGTATCTCAATTGATATCCATGTATATCTCATTTACGAATATAAATATATTATATATTATACAACTTATCTACAACGTTCATACATTATTTCTACCCAGATAAATACAACTACAACATCATATAACTTAAATACAATTTTTATACAATATGTATTTTGTATATATTTTGTATCTGATTTGTATATATTTTATTTGTGGTGTGTGCTTCTTCCTCTCTAAAATTCCAATCAAAGCTTACTCTCTTAATATAATTTTGATGCATATCAACAACTTTATGTAAAAAGATAGTATTGATAACTTAAATACAAATTTTATATAATGATTCATACATTATACAACTATTTTTCAACTTTCATACAATAACAACTCAGTATAATCCCACTAGTGGGGTCTGGGGAGGGTAGTGTGTACGCAGACCTTACCCCTAACCTGAGGTAGAGAGGCTGTTTCCAATAGACCCTCGGCATCCTTCCCTCCAAGAACTCCCCACCTTGCTCTTGGGGTGACTCGAACTCACAACCTCTTGGTTGGAAGTGGAGGGTGCTTACCATCAGAGCAACCCACCTTGTATTTCATACAACATTCAAATAAAAAACAAAATGTAACTTCAACATAATACAATTTATATACAATTATAATACAACTTTACTACAATTTCGTAAGTATATTGTGTCACGACCCAATTTCATCATAGGCCGTGATGGCATTCAATACCGTTGTTAGGCAAGCCAACACTGATAAATCTAGTGGTTTTCACTTTTAATATGTTTGCAAAGTGAATAACTTTCCTCATTGATAAAATTCTTAGAAATTTACTGATGTGAAGTAATTAAACAAAGGCAACTGAGTGCAAATCGAAGTCATAACAATAAATTCAAAATCATAAGTCTACTAGTGCATGCCAAGACCTGGTATCACAAGTGTGTGAGTTACTAGTAGAATATACAAAAGAATACTAGTTTACTGTCTCAAGGAAATAGACAGAAATATAAATCCAAAAGAGAGACTCCAGCTACTGTTGAACGGCTCAGAAGGGCAGCTCACCGTATAGTCTCGAGCTAGAAGTCAAGTGTGCGCGCCGGACTGGTAACCAGATGCACCTTCCTTAAATCCTGCACATAAAGTGCAGAAGTGTAGTGTGAGTACATAAACAACATGTACCCAGTAAGTATCTAGTCTAACCTCGAAGAAATAGTGACGAGGTGTCAACTTCGACACTTACTAAGGGTCAACAACATAATAATGTGAAGTTCTACTTAAGCATGTAATATACAATGATAATAGCGCTCAAAAATAGGAAGTAAGTAAGCAAATCCTTCTTTCAAGTGAGAATCAAACCATTTCTCTCATCTATTCCTTTAACCTTTCAAGTCCGTGAAGCATTATTAAATATAAAAAATGGATTTCGGTATCACTACGCACGAGTTATGCCGAGGACGTACGGCCCGATCTAAATATACATAATAATATACTGTGCACTGTCGAGGGTCGAGCAGCCCGAACAATCTAATATATCAATAAATCCTGCCGAGGCGAACGACCCGCTCCCATGAGAGTAGTGGAAGTTTACCCCGCTCGTGGAATATATTTGCGAAGCGGTTGAACATATAATTTCTCAATTCATCGTAGTATTTCTCAACTCCTTTCTAAAAATAAGAAATTCAACTTGGAGCTTTAAAAATTGAAACCCTCAACTTCCGCTGTAATCCAACAACTAGTAAGCATAAACAAGCAACAGTAACAATAAAGCATGGCGTAAGCCTAAATCTACCCAGACATAAGCATGAATAGTAGCTAAGCACTGACTCTCTTCACATCGTGCGTACGTAGCTCCCCTCCCCCCCTCCCCCCCCACATACACACACAATTAGAAGTACATATTGATTAAGTTCACTTATGGGGTTAATTCCCTCTCACAAGGTTAGAAAAGAGACTTACCTCGTCTCAAAGCCTACTTCCCAAGAATGCGCTCATACCCTCAAGTCGGTGCCGAATCAATCCAAACTAATCAAATAATATACAAACTAATCAATACGTGCTCAAGAAGTCGTACTCCAATTATTAAAGAGGTTACCCAACCCTAAATGCAAGATTCTAAAATTTTACCCCTAGGCCCACCTGCCCGAATTCCGAAAATTTTTGAAGAAAGTTGTTACCCATAACCTTAGAAACATAAATATATGATTTTTCACTAAGTTCCATAACCATTTTCGTGGTAAAATCTTATTTTTATCAAAACCTAGATTTTTCATCTTAACCCACAACTTCTACAAATTTTCATGTTAAAATCTACCTATAATCTATGTATTAAACTCACATTAGGTAGAAATTACTTACCTTGAAAATCTAGGTCGAAATCCCCTCCTTAAAATCTCTCAAATCGCCCAAGAGTGAAAAATAATGTGCTAGAAATGGCCTAAGTCTCGCATTAAATGAACCCTTCTGCCTAGCGATTTCCGCACCTGCGGCAAAATCCCCGCAGGTGCGTATTCCTCTCACCTGGCCAGGCTCCGCATCTGCGGACCATTGGGGCCACTTCTGCGAGCCCATCCGCTCCTCCGATCAGGTCCCTCGCACTTGCGGTCACGCAGGTGCGCCAAATGTTCCGCATCTGCGGTGGCTGGGATGCCCTTAATGGTTCGCTTCTGCGACTCTTGGCTCGCACCTGCGGTTAGCCAAGCGCAGGTGCGATTATGACAGAATTGGAGCTTCAGCAGCTGCTCCAAACTTCCAACTTGGTCCGAGCCTCATCCGATTGACACTCGTGGCCCCGCCCGAATATACCAACAAGTTTGGAATCATAAAACGGACTCGCTCGAACTCTCGGAACGCCTGGAACAACATTAAAACTAAGAATTGCACCCCAAAACCAATTGAATTAAACTTATGAACTTCAAGTTCTTCAATTTACTCCCAATGCGCCGAAACATACTTAAACTACTCGGATTGACACCAAAATTTGCGTGCAAGTCTTAAATGAAATTACAGAGCCATCCCCATTCTCGAAATTCCATTTGAATCTCGATATCACCAAAACCTGCTCCAAACCAAATTGAAAGAACTTCTAAACCTTCAATGAACCAACCTTCACTATTAGGCGCTGAAACGCTCCCGGTTCATCCAAAACCTGATTCGAGCATACGCCCAAGTCCGATATCATCATACGAACCTATTGGGATCGTCAAATACTGATTTCGAGGTCGTTTACTCAAAATATTTACCGAAGTCAAACTTAGCCTTTTAAGGCCAACTTAAGGAACCAATTATCCCGATTTCAACCCGAACCCTTCCAAATCTCAAACTAACTACCCCCGCAAGTCATAAAACAGTAAAAGCACATACATGGAGTCTTATTTAGGGGGAATGAGGATATAGAAAGAAAAACGACTGGTTGGGTCGTTACATTCTCCACCTCTTAAACAAACATTCGTCCTCGAATGGGTCTAGAATCATACTTGGAGTGCTGAACAAGTGAGGATTTCTGCTCCGCATATCCTCCTCGGACTCCCAGGTCGCCTCCTCGACTAGTTGGCCCCTCCACTGAACCTTTACCATGAAAATCCTCTTGGATCTCAACTGGCGATCCTGCCTATCAATAATGGCAACTGGCTCCTCTTCATAACCCAAACTCTTATCTAGCTGAATCGTGTTGAAGTCTAACATATGTGACAAGTCAGGATGATACCTCCGGAGCATAGACACGTGGAAAACCGGATGAACTCCTGATAGACTGGGAGGCAAAGCAAGCTCATAAGCAACCTCCCCTACTCGCTTTAACACCTCAAATAAGCCTATAAACCTTGGGCTCAACTTGCCCTTCTTCCCAAACCGCATGGTTCCCTTCATCGGTGAGACTTTCAAGAGAACCTTCTCGCCTACCATGAATGATAAGTCACGCGCCTTCTCATCCGCGTAACTCTTCTATCGGGACTTGGCTATGCGAAGTCTCTCCTGAATCAACTTTACCTTTTCCAAGGCATCCTTCACCAAATCAGTACCATACAACCTAGCCTCGCCAGGCTCAAACCACCCAATGGGAGAACGACACCGCCGACCATATAAAGCCTCGAATGGAG